GAGGGAAATTCCAAACACTTTTTTTTAACAATAAATTTGTTACGTATTTTATTTTATTTTTTATGTTTTTTATCGATTGCAGTATAAAGACAATATACGTATAGTGTCTTGAAATATGAAATTTATTTGTATTCGGCACGAAACAGGGGGAAATGCTCGGTAAACCTCGCATTTCCCCCCGTTTCTTAGCCTCATACAAATAAATTTCATATTTCAAGACACTATACGTATATTGTCTAAATATGTTACGTTAACCCCTGTGTGCTACACTGTAGAATGTCTATGACCAATATCTATTAACTTAACAACTGTATGCTACACTGTAGAATGTCAATGAGCAGTATCTGTTAAATTAACTCAACCACTGTATGCTACATTATAGTACCTTAACTTGTTCAATATGTTCTATACTGCTAAGTGTCTTTCAGGACTATGTAATACCATGACTTGTTCAATATGTTCTATACTGCTAAGTGTCTTTCAGGACTATCTAATACCTTGACTTGTTCAATATGTTCTATACTGCTAAGTGTCTTTTAGGACTATCTAATACCTTGACTTGTTCAATATGTTCTATACTGCTAAGTGTCTTTCAGGACTATCTAATACCATGACTTGTTCAATATGTTCTATACTGCTAAGTGTCTTTCAGGACTATCTAATACCTTGACTTGTTCAATATGTTCTATACTGCTAAGTGTCTTTCAGGACTATGTAATACCTTGACTTGTTCAATATGTTCTATACTGCTAAGTGTCTTTCAGGACTATGTAATACCTTGACTTGTTCAATATGTTCTATACTGCTAAGTGTCTTTCAGGACTATCTAATACCTTGACTTGTTCAATATGTTCTATACTGCTAAGTGTCTTTCAGGACTATCTAATACCATGACTTGTTCAATATGTTTTATACTGCTAAGTGTCTTTCAGGACTATCTAATACCTTGACTTGTTCAATATAATCTACGTTGCCTAATGCCCATGAGGACTATCTAGTACCTCAGCTTGTTCAATATACCGGTATTCTACACCTTAGTACCTTAGTTTGTTCAATATATTCTACACTGCCTAATGTCCATGAGGACTATCTAGTACCTTAGCTTGTTCAATGTGTTCTACAATGCCTAATGCCCATGAGGACTATCTAGTATCTTAGCTTGTTCAATATATTCTACATTGCTTAATGTCTATGAGGGCTATCTAGTTCCTTATCTTGTTCAATATATTTTACATTGCTTAATGTCCATAAGGACTATCTAGTACCTTGACTTGTTCAATATATTCTACACTGCTAAACATCCATAATGACTATCTGGTACTCAAATTTGTTCAATATGTTCTACACTGCTAAATTTCCATGAAGACTATCTAGCACCTTGACTTGTTCAATATGCTCTATGCTGCCTAATGTCCATGAGAACAATCTATTACATGAACCTTAGATTGTTCAATATGTTCTATACTACTTTATGTCCATGAGGACTATTTAGTATCTTTCTAGTAGGCCAGAGAACACAGTTATTTCGTAGTGCATTTCTTTAAGAAAAAAACGCAAATTAAAAAAATCGCACTTGCTCTATCCAAAAAAGATTTTTACAGTGTAGTGTACTACTTTTGGGACAAATTATATCAAAATTATAGAAAAGTCTATCGGCTCAACTCAAAATATAGATAATTTTATGTTAAGGGGGTCTGTAATTCAGTTTGACAGCTTCAGGCATACTAATTTTTTACCTTTTCAAACTAGACCAAATTACTACTTTACCTAAAAATTCATGCCCCAAATTTTTTTAACATGTAATTTCATCCCCCTACTTACCAATTTAAGCATAAAATATAAAGAAATAAATTTGGAAGGTGTATGAAAAAAATTTGCAAGTTATACACTGTCCACACTAGGGACTCTATTCGTACTGTGTCCCGGGACCTAGTACCTTGCTCAATTTGTTCTACACTGCTTAAAGTTCGTGAAATCTATCTAGTACTCATGCCAGTTCAATATGTTCTACACTGTTTAATATCATGAGAATTATCTAGTACTCAAGCTAGTTCAATATGTTCTACACTGCTTAATACCATAATTATCTAGTACTCAAGCCAGTTCAATATGTTCTACACTGCTTAATATCATGAGAATTATCTAGTACTCAAGCCAGTTCAATATATTCTACACTGCTTAATACTATGAGAATTATCTAGTACTCAAGCCAGTTCAATATGTTCTACACTGCTTAATACCATAATTATCTAGTACTCAAGCCTGTTCAATATGTTCTACACTGCTTAATATCATGAGGATTATCTAGTACTCAAGCCAGTTCAATATGTTCTACACTGTTTAATATCATGAGTATTATCTAGTACTCAAGCCAGTTCAATATGTTCTACACTGCTTAATACCATGATTATCTAGTACTCAAGCCAGTTCAATATGTTCTACACTGCTTAATATCATGAGAATTATCTAGTACTCAAGCCAGTTCAATATATTCTACACTGCTTAATACTATGAGAATTATCTAGTACTCAAGCCAGTTCAATATGTTCTACACTGCTTAATACCATAATTATCTAGTACTCAAGCCAGTTCAATATGTTCTACACTGCTTAATACCATAATTATCTAGTACTCAAGCCAGTTCAATATGTTCTACACTGTTTAATATCATGAGTATTATCTAGTACTCAAGCCAGTTCAATATGTTCTGCACTGCTTAATATCATGAGGATTATCTGGTACTCAAGCCAGTTCAATATGTTCTACACTGCTTAATACCATGAGAATTATCTAGTACTCAAGCCAGTTCAATATGTTCTACACTGCTTAATACCATGAGAATTATCTAGTACTCAATCCAGTTCAGTATGTTCTGCACTGCTTAATATCATGAGAATTATCTAGTACTCAAGCCAGGTCAATATATTCTACACTGCTTAATACTATGAGAAGTATCTAGTACTCAAGCCAGTTCAATATGTTCTACACTGCTTAATACCATAATTATCTAGTACTCAAGCCTGTTCAATATGTTCTACACTGCTTAATATCATGAGGATTATCTAGTACTCAAGCCAGTTCAATATGTTCTACACTGTTTAATATCATGAGTATTATCTAGTACTCAAGCCAGTTCAATATGTTCTACACTGCTTAATACAATAATTATCTAGTACTCAAGCCAGTTCAATATGTTCTACACTGCTTAATATCATGAGAATTATCTAGTACTCAAGCCAGTTCAATATATTCTACACTGCTTAATACTATGAGAATTATCTAGTACTCAAGCCAGTTCAATATGTTCTACACTGCTTAATACCATAATTATCTAGTACTCAAGCCAGTTCAATATGTTCTACACTGCTTAATATCATGAGGATTATCTAGTACTCAAGCCAGTTCAATATGTTCTACACTTTTAATATCATGAGTATTATCTAGTACTCAAGCCAGTTCAATATGTTCTGCACTGCTTAATATCATGAGGATTATCTAGTACTCAAGCCAGTTCAATATGTTCTACACTGCTTAATACCATGAGAATTATCTAGTACTCAATCCAGTTCAGTATGTTCTGCACTGCTCAATATCATGAGAATTATCTAGTACTCAAGCCAGTTCAATATGTTCTACACTGCTTAATACCATGAGAATTATCTAGTACTCAAGCCAGTTCAATATGTTCTGCACTGCTTAATATCATGAGGATTTTCTAGTCCTCAAGTCTGTTAAAGATGTTCTACACTGCTTAATATCATGAGGACTATTTAGTCATCAAGCCTGTTCAAGATGTTCTACAATGCTTAATATCCACGAGGACTACAATTTTGAACTATTTTTCACTCACCAGGCTCAAAGGGCCAAGTGAGCTTTTCTAACCGCTTGACGTTCATCGTTATTGGTTGTCATCATCTGTTAACTTTTACAAGAATATTATCCTCTGAAACTACTGGGCTAAATTTAATCAAACTTGGCCATAATCATCATTGAGTACATTGTATCTAGTTTTAAAAATTAGTCTGATGACCTGGCTTGCCATCAAACATGGCAGACTTGGCTAAAAATAGAACATAGGGGGTAAAATGCAAGTTTGGTCTATTATCTTGAAAACCACTATAAATGGAGAAAATATGACTGAGCAGAAATGTTAAGAATGTTAGGATCTGCCTATTGTCCATGTACATCAATACTGTCAGACGACTTCTTATAGGAGTTATTGCCCTTAAATGACAAATTTTAACATTTTTGTTCTCTCATTTTTGCCTATCATCTTGAAAACAATAAAAGAGAAAATCAAAAATTAATAAAGATAGAGAGAAAATATAAAACAGAAATAATTATCAGCAATACAAGATCAACAAAACATACATTTTTTTCATGAATTCTATTCTAATAGAAAAACAAAGGATATGGGGTATCCATCCATGACACAAAATCAGTACATGCTCAGCAAAAAAACACACAAAAAGCAAAGGAACAGTGCCTTATTGCTGTTCTTCATCTCAAAGTCACAGTGAGGCCTTCAACACAGAGTAAAAAAACTCTCACCTCACTGCAAGTTTAAGACGGCCCCTAGCACCGGCTTGAGCGGAATTCTTTGCAGAAATAAAATTTGGATAGACTTTGTAAGATGCTAGTCCAAAATGTTGGAGAGTGTCCATTGTTAAAGATGCACATAGACCTAGGTGAGCGACACAGGGTCTTTATAGCCTCTAGTTTGGCTTAATTTTGGATGTTTTAGCTTTAGTTGACATTAGTCACATTTATGAACCACCATAATTTTTTGTCAGGATGTGTATCCCACCTGATTACACCATTTTTTGAACTTCCAGCCCCTACTTCTATGTAACTATATATAATGCTTACAACACAATTGGTCAATCAGTATAAAAAAAAATTTAGGTTACTGTGACATTTTTTTCTTTTTGATCAGAGACAAAGTAAAACACTTAAAACAGTCACCTTTGAAACATAGGTATGTAAAAGACATCAATCTGTTTTGCAGTTCCTGAATATGTATTCAATATAAATAAGAATAAAAATTATCATAAATAAACATCTTTTATGTATTTACAATAAACTAGTGACATATCAAAGTCAGAAAATAGCTTCACTAAGTCTTCTTTTATATCATACTCCACAACGGTAAAATCTAGAAATCTGAAAATATAAAGAAACAATCAACAATTAAAATCAATCAATATTTATCAAAACCTCTTGTTGAAATCCTCATTAACCAGAATTGCTTTAAAAAAACTAAAATAAATGTTAACCGAATTAATGATCTAATACATGTACCATGGTTTCTGCAAAAAAAAGGAGCATTGCCAGCTGCATCAAATTCACACAACAGTGAAATCTAGATCATGTGGATACATTACTACATGTTTAACATGTACATCTTCCAATGTTTCTATAGACCAAAATATGGTAGTTCTATCTCTTGTAGTAACTGAGAAACTGACTTCAGCATAAAAACTTGTATTATCAATGAACCATGAGAATGAGGTTAAGGTCAAATGATCCTTGTCAGACACCTTAAAAGTTCCAAAGACCTATTGCTTTCCTATCAAAAATACATAATATATATTTACTAAGGACCTAAGCAATAGTGATTAAATAATACCTATAACATGATCATCATCAGGTGTATTCAGGAGAAGAGAAGATGGCTACATTATACTAGGTAGTGCTAACACAGAGGGGACATGATAAAGTATATCTTCTGAGGACCTAAGCAATAGTGAATAAATAATACCTATAACATGATCATCATCAGCTGTATTCAGGAGAAGAGAAGATGGCTACATTATACTAGGTAGTGCTGACACAGAGGGGACATGATAAAGTATATCTACTGAGGACCTAAGCAATAGTGAATAAATAATACCTATAACATGATCATCATCAGCTGTATTCAGGAGAAGAGAAGATGGCTACATTATACTAGGTAGTGCTAACACAGAGGGGACATGATAAAGTATATCTATTGAGGACCTAAGCAATAGTGAATAAATAATACCTATAACATGATCATCATCAGCTGTATTCAGGAGAAGAGAAGATGGCTACATTATACAAGGTAGTGTTGACACAGAGGGGACATGATAAAGTATATCTTCTGAGGACCTAAGCAATAGTGAATAAATAATACCTATAACATGATCATCATCAGCTGTATTCAGGAGAAGAGAAGATGGCTACATTATACTAGGTAGTGCTAACACAGAGGGGACATGATAAAGTATATCTTCTGAGGACCTAAGCAATAGTGAATAAATAATACCTATAACATGATCATCATCAGCTGTATTCAGGAGAAGAGAAGATGGCTACATTATACTAGGTAGTGCTAACACAGAGGGGACATGATAAAGTATATCTACTGAGGACCTAAGCAATAGTGAATAAATAATACCTATAACATGATCATCATCAGCTGTATTCAGGAGAAGAGAAGATGGCTACATTATACTAGGTAGTGCTGACACAGAGGGGACATGATAAAGTATATCTATTGAGGAACTAAGCAATAGTGAATAAATAATACCTATAACATGATCATCATCAGCTGTATTCAGGAGAAGAGAAGATGGCTACATTATACTAGGTAGTGCTAACACAGAGGGGACATGATAAAGTATATCTATTGAGGACCTAAGCAATAGTGAATAAATAATACCTATAACATGATCATCATCAGCTGTATTCAGGAGAAGAGAAGATGGCTACATTATACTAGGTAGTGCTAACACAGAGGGGACATGATAAAGTATATCTTCTGAGGACCTAAGCAATAGTGAATAAATAATACCTATAACATGATCATCATCAGCTGTATTCAGGAGAAGAGAAGATGGCTACATTATACTAGGTAGTGCTGACACAGAGGGGACATGATAAAGTATATCTACTGAGGACCTAAGCAATAGTGAATAAATAATACCTATAACATGATCATCATCAGGTGTATTCAGGAGAAGAGAAGATGGCTACATTATACTAGGTAGTGCTAACACAGAGGGGACATGATAAAGTATATCTATTGAGGACCTAAGCAATAGTGAATAAATAATACCTATAACATGATCATCATCAGCTGTATTCAGGAGAAGAGAAGATGGCTACATTATACTAGGTAGTGCTAACACAGAGGGAACATGATAAAGTATATCTTCCATTTCAAGCTGAAGAAGTGAAATATTTTGTTAGCCATTCAGAGTTCTTCACATTTATACTTTATGGTACAGATTTAGGTTATTCTATAAATACACGGTGCACACTGATATCTACAGGTTAAGATTTTTAAGCTGATCCGTCTAGATTTTTTTTTATAGTTGCCATGGCCTAAAGCATTTAACATTTTGGCTTTTCAACCTTTAGGTTATATTTTAACAAAACTATAAAAGTAATGGAAGAAATATATGTATCTAAATTATATATTTACATTGATAATACCACAGAAAGAATTTCCTCTGAACAACTATCATGGGAATCAACATACCTTTTGCTACCTGTAGCCTTCTCTTCACATATAACAGACATCATTCTCTCTTTACAACTCCTTCCATGTGAATCAACATCAACATTTACACTTCTATGTCTAATTAAATATTCCTAAAATATCAAAAAAAGTCCTTAAATTCAAATACACATATTTACCTATCTTATAATAAATTTCTGACAATCAAAATGAAATATTGTTTTTGTTTTAAAAAACCCTACATATGTTTACTCAATTTTCTTGCAAGTAATCAATTCAATTCTAATTATGTTCCCAAGGGTTAACAAGAGAAAAAGTCACCCAAATTAAGCATGTTTACCCAAGCAATAGACATAGTCATATTTGCATGCAAAGTCTGCCATTACTTAAAATCACAGAAGTTCCCGGAAGATTTTGAATCACAATTTAAAAAATTTGATGCCATAATTAAAAAGTAATTGTTGCCTGACCTCAGTATGTTATTTGGAGCAAAATCTAGGGTCATTCAGAGACAATTCAGCTAAATAACCAAAAGTTTAAATATGTCTATATTTTTCCTTACTTTTCAATTGCTGAAGTAGCTCTATATGAAATTCAATAACGAAATGTCTAGTTTCAAGAAAATTTGTTAGCAATCCGTGTCTTTAGTTGTAATACTCAATCATTCATACTCCAGTACACCCTTTAAAGTTGGCTATTATGGTAAAGAACTTCTTATAACTGTTTATATGGGTTAATTTAATGATAAAATCTGAGTGTCATTTTTGTTATTAGAGTTTAACATTTTTAGAATATAAAACTAATGCATATTAAATTTCTTACTGTCATTACAGGGAAAGTGTTGTTCAAGGGCGCAATCAGGTCAATTATATTTCAACTATGATGAAAAAAAAAACTCATCATAGATAACAGGATTGAAATTTTGTACGCCAGACGCGTTTTGTCAACAAAAGACTCATCAGTGACACTTGAATCAAAAAAGTAAAAAGGCCATATAAAATACGAAGCTGAGGAGAATTGACCACCCAAAATATTAATTGTTATCTGTGAACACATCTACCTTACTTTAAACTTAACATCAGCTGAATATTTTCAAAGACAGATTAAGATCAACATTTTTTTATACATGTAAAAGAAATTACAATGTTGGATGATGGATGACAGATGCAAAGTGTTATGCATTGCACTGGTCCTTGGGGCTTTAAAGACCAAAACATAACCACAAAATAGCCAAAAGTAAATTAGGTATTGAAAGATTAACCAACATATTCATGTAACTAAACAAGAGGCTCTCAAGAGCCTGAATCGCTCACCTGTATTTCAGAGGAGAAGATTTTTAAATGTTAGCAAACTTGATGAACAAATTGTGTAAAATTGTCTTTAAAGGGCAATAACTCCTTAAGGGGTCAATTGACAATTATGGTCATATTAACTTTTTTGAAGATCTTACTTTTGCTGAACATTTTTGCTGCTTACAGTTTATATATATCTATAATAATATTCAAAATAATAACAAATAAAATGCTCCGCAGGGCGCAGCTTGATACGACCGCAGAGGTCGAACCCTGAACAGTTAGGGGAAGTATGGACACAACATTCAAGCTTGATACAGCTCTGAATTTGGATTGTGATTAAATATTTGACACAGCATAGGTTTCTGACACAGAATGAATGTGGTCTAAGAACTTAAAAATTTTAAATTGGACATTCACCTATTATGGTCCAATATCCAAAATCTAAATACATGGTTAGATTCAGCATATCAAAGAACCCCAAGAATTCAATTTTTGATGAAATCAAACAAAGTTTAATTTCGGACCCTTTTGACCTCAATGTGGACAAAGTTGATTACGGGGCCCAAAATTCAAAAATCTAAATACATGGTTAGATTCAGCATATCAAAGAACCCCATATATTCAATTTTTGTTGAAATCAAACAAAGTTTAATTTGGACCCCGATTTGGACCAACTTGAAAACTGGGCCCATAATCAAAAATCTAAATACATGTTTAGATTCAGCATATCAAAGAACCCTAAGAATTCAATTTTTGTTAAAATCAAACTTAGTTTAATTTTGGACCCTTTGGACCTTAATGTAGACCAATATGAAAACGGAACCAAAAATTAAGAATCTAAATACACAGTTAGATTCGGCATATCAAAGAACCCCAATAATTCAATTTTTGATGAAATCAAACAAAGTTTAATTTTGGACCCTTTGGACCTCAATGTGGACCAATTTAAAAACATGGCCCAAAATCCAAAAACCTAATACACGGTTAGATTCAGCATATTAAAGAACCCCAAAAATTCAAGAATAAAACCCCATTGAAAATGGTCAAGAAATAAGCAATTTATACGAAGTATCTTCTTTTGCACAATACTGTGCAATTGAATATTTGTTGCTATTGCGCAATACTGCACAATTGATAATTTCTTGCTATTGCGCAATATTGTGCTATTGGATATTTCTTGCTATTGCGCAATACTGTGCAATTGAAGATTTCTTGCTATTGCGCAATACTGTGCAATTGAAGATTTCTTGCTATTGTGCAATACTGTGCAATTGAAAATTTCTTGCTATTGCACAATACTTATTATATAATAATTTACACATCCTGTTTGGTGTGTATCTCCTACCATATCATTATTATTTGCTTTTAAATATAAATCAGAAATAACCAACTTAAAATGGAAAATTTTAAAAGAAAAAAAAAGGAAAAAAAAAAAAATCCCCCCCCCCCCCAAATTTTTTGAACCCCCTTATGATTCATCACCCCCAAACTCAATCCCAGCCTTCCCTTTGTGGTATGGTACCTTGCAGTACAATTTCAGAGAGATCCATACACTTGAACACAAGTTATTGTCTGGAAACTAGAAAAATGCTTATTTTTGGCCCCATTTTGGCCCCTTATTCCTAAACGTTTCGGGCAATTACCCCCAAACTCAATTTCAGCTTTCCCTTTGTGATATGGAACCTTGTAGTACAATTTCAGAAAGATCCATACACTAACACACAAGTTATTGTCATGAAACTAGAAAAATGCTTGTTTTTTGCCCCTTTTTTGGCCCCTAATTCCTAATATTTTGAGGCAATTACCCCCAAAATCAATCCCAGCATTCCCTTTGTGATATGGAACCTTGTGGTACAATGTCAGAGAGATCCATACACTAACACACAAGTTATGTCTGGAAGTTACAAAAATGCTTATTTTTGGCCCCTTTTTGGCCCCTAATTCCTTAACTGTTGGTACCATAACCCCCAAAATCAATCCCAACCTTCCTTTTGTGGTATTGAACCTTATGGTAAAATTTCATAGAGATCCATTCACTTAAACTAAAGTTAGAGTGCGAAAACCAATGTGTCTTCGGACGACACAGGACGACGCCGGACGACGCCAACGTCATACCAATATACGCAATTTTTTGCGGTCGTATAAAAACTGCAAAATTTTGTTAAAAATACCAATTTGGTGGCAGCAACCCAACAATGGGTTGTCCGATTCGTCTGAAAATTTCAGAGCTGATAGATCTCGACCAACTGAACAATTTTACCCCGTCAGATTTGCTCTAAAAGCTTTAGTTTTTGAGATACAAGCCAAAAACTGCATTTGACCCCTATGTTTTATTTTTAGCCATGGTGGCCATGTTTGTCGATCGATCAAAACTTCAGATACAATTTATAAACTAGATACCCTAAGGAACATTTAGCTAAAGTTTGAAGGTATTTGGCCCAGTAGTTTCAGAGGAGAAGATTTTTTAAATAGTTTATGACGACAGACGACGGAAGACGACGGAAGACAAGTGATGGCATGAGCTAAAAAATGAATTCTAGAAAAGTTAGTTAGGTGGGTAAAAATAAAATAAAATGTTTTTGTTGTTACCTTAATGTTTACATGTTGACCCTGTAGTAATATAAGGATAAGTTTACCACAAAACAGTAGTCTCCCTTTAAGATCAAGTTCTTGTGTCCACTTGTGAATTGTTTTGATGTATTTAGATTTAGCTCTCATATGATCAAGTAACAATAAACAATTCCACACATCTCCTGTTTCATCTTCTTCTGGTACCTTTAAAGAATATTCTTCATCAACCAGTTTATCTAAGTTGTCCTGAATATTACACAAAATGACAAAAATCATAGCTTGTCCTAGATTCTGGTCAGCACAGCCTGTAGCATCTTTACGTATTATTGTTAGAACTTCATGAGTCAGTTGTGAACTGTTTACTATTATATCTGGTATTCGTTCAGGATAACTTTCTGGTACCCTGAGGTCAACATTTATAAGAATTGGCTCCTGGCTAGGTTGGTTATGTTCTAAATGAACTAATATTTGTTTGCTGTTTCCAAATTCTGTAAAATCAAAACAAATAGAAGTCAGATGATGAGTTTGTAACACAGCCCAACATAAAAAAAAACACTGGTCTTGCAAAAAACATAATTGAAATTTGAGTTTAAATTTGGGCTTTGAACAAGTTTTAAGTTAGATTTGTAATAAATGTATAGTTTGTCTTTTTATTACTTGCTTTTGTGCTAAGTACCTCTCTGCTGAGTCAAGCCCTTTCCAACTGTTTTTAATATTTTTTGATCTGATATTGTGCTGTTACACAACTGTCTGAATTTGAAAAATTCAGTTTAACTGTAATTGGTGCAAATGTGTATATGTATATAACTAAAGTATCATATCCCATGTTTGATTTCCATCATTGAACGTTGTTAAATATAATTTTTTTGTGAAACAAAAGCAACAGATTGTGTTCATATGCCATAACATTTTGAAGTGAACTATAAAATGGCCCTGGATTGGGATGATATAAACAATGTGGTGGGGTTTTACTACGAGTATCACATAAACTTAACATTATTAATGTTGTACCAAAACGGGGTCACGGTCAGATGAATCATGCCAGACAGTAATGTAGACCTTACAATCATTCCATACACCAAATATAGTGGTCTTGTTATGGCTTATAGTAACCGAGAAGCAGATCAAACCACAAAATCTTAACATTGATCAATGAACCATGAAAATGAGATTAAGATCATATGAACACTGCTAGACAGACATGTACACCTTACAATCATTCCATACACCAAATATAGTTAACCTTTTGCTCATATTACCTAATAAACTTATAAAAATATGAATATTTACCATTGACCAATGAACCATGAAAATAAGGTCAAGGTCATATAAACCCCGCCAAATAGACATATGCACCTGATAAACGTTCAATACAACAAATATAATTGACATAATTTAATATTGTTTAAAATATCTGAGAAATAGACCAAACAACAAAAACTAAACATTGTCCAATGATCCATGAAATTAAGGTCAAGGTCAGATGAAACCTGCCAGTCGGACATGTACACCTTACAATCAATCCAAACAACAATTATAGTTGACCTAATGCTGATAGTATCCGAGATACAGACTTGACCACGTAACTTTAACCTTGATCACTGATCCATGAAATGAAGTCGAGGTCAGGTGATCCCTACCTGACAGAAATGTAGACGTTGCAAGGAACCTGTATACCAAACATTGATATCCTATAACTCATAATAAGTGAGTATTACCCTTGACAAAAAAATGTAATTTTTTTCAAGCAGTCACTGAATCATGAAAATGATTATGAGGTCAAGGACAATGGACATATGACAGAGGGAAACTCCATAACTTCAGGTATCTGTATACAAGTTATGAAGCATCCTGGTCTTCTACCTTCTGAAATATTAAGCTTTATACAAATAGTTTATGCCATTTCCGCCACCACCAAATTGTAATCCCTATGTCTTGCATTCTGCATCAAAAGACGAAGGTGTGACAATCAAATTTGAAAAAGAAAAATATTTTGAAGAAAAATATTTTGAAGACAAAACAAGACAATATTTTATTTAAGTTTCACCTCTTACAAATCATTTACACATTATTATAACTTCACATATAAAACAAGAGCCACTCTAAAAAGAATTCTGAGAGACTATATAACTTTAATATATATTTATCTATATATATATATATATATATATAAAACGTCTGAATAATAGTCAACGATTTTTCCCACGAGGGCGCTGGATCGTTACGAGTAACGATACACGTACACAATAAATAAATTATATAAACGCCTAAAAAGTGTACACAACAACACCAATAACAAAAAAAGGAACTATAAATGTAATTATTTATAAATATTTTGGATAACAGATATCCTTCATCAGTAAATATGATTGTGATGTTGAATGAATCATATATCAGTCTACTTAGATTAAACTATACCAATCTTGAAATTTATACAATAAAAATGTCAAACCGAACATCAGGTAAGAGGCTTGCACAATTCTAAATATGTGTTAAACACGACATAGGTTATATGACTAATTACAACAGAGAGTTCAAATATATGCTTTAAATAAAAATAATAATGTGCGATATGAACTAGCACAATTCTAAAGCTTTAACGGTGACGATAGTTATGATGTTACAAGAACCATTGCGTCAATAAGAATTCCAAATAAACAGCACTGAACGATCTAAATTTGTAAATATTTCAAATTTGACAACGGTAGAGTAGTTGCAACAGAGTCTGCGTATTTAAACATCGCAAACAAACGTTAATAATAATAATAAATTTTGACTAAGGTTAACTAGTTGAACGTGGCTTTGTACTTTTACATCCCTCAAAAAATTAAGCAATTTAAATTGGTATATTCAACAGATTTATTTTAGAGATGAGTAAGGTAAAGAAATACAAAACAGAGACTGTAATAAAAAGTAATATAACCCAAATGTGAAGCACTGCATGGAGTCTAACTACATCTTTTCATTTATCCCATTTGGTGCCAAAGTTGTTAATTTTCTTATCCAAAATCTTTCCAGAGTGAGTCTATCCTCCCTAGACCAAGCAGAGTTGTGGTCAATGATTGTAATGGTCAGTCGATTGAGATCTGCCTTAGTGTGGCCAGGGGATCTCAAATGTCGACTGAGAGGGAGGTCTGGCTTGCATTGGTAGTCGCTACAATGACCGTTCATTCGTGTGTGAAACGGCTGTTCTGACTCGCCAACATACTGTTTACCACATTTACACTGTCGAAGAGCCTGCTTGAGAGGATAAGTCAGCTCTCACCAGCAAGTCTTAAAGGCTTTTGGGCCTACGGAAAGCCAGTACAGGTGGCTCAGGAAAGATTTTGGATAGTTTAGGATGTTTTTCGATTTCTTTCCAATTTTCGCAGATTAGGTGAGATAAGTTGTCAAATTTTGGATGGTAAGTCAACACAAAAGGCACCCTCCAGATAAAGGTAGCGCTGTTGTCGTCATGGACAAATGTGACTACATTCAAGAGGCAGAACGTCAACTCTCTGATGAGAGATTTTATAAGAAATTAGACTCTGACCCCACCCCTCAATTCAACAAAGAGATCACCACAAACCTGAAAAACATGTGTGAAGAGGGACATATTGATGAAAACACATTTGAATATCTAAAACCTGAAAAATCAAAGCCGGGGCATTTCTATCTTCTGCCCAAAATACATAAAGTCAATAATCCAGGTAGACCAATTGTTTCCGCCAATGACCACCCTACAGAGAAAATATCAGAATTTATTGACTTTCATCTGAGACCACATGTGGAAAATTTACCATCCTATATACAAGACACAACACATTATCTTAAGAAAATGGAATCTTTGAACCCTCTCCCACCTGAAACGATCCTTGTCTCGCTTGATGTTACCTCCCTCTATACTAACATCCCCAATGACGATGGTATTGAAGCCTGAAGGGAAGTCTGGAACTCTCGTAACACCTTACATCCACCGACTGAATGTCTCATCCAGCTTCTTACTTTGGTATTACAATGCAATAACTTCACATTCAATGGTGAAAACTTTCTCCAAGTTAATGGAACAGCAATGGGAACAAAGATGGCCCCGTCTTATGCCAATATTTTTATGGGGAAATTAGAACAGAGAATTCTCAATTCTTCTCTTTATCAACCCCTCTCTTGGTTCCGATTTATCGATGATATTGACATGAAGTGGGATAATACTGAACAAGAACTAAATTTGTTCATTCAACATGCCAACGATGTCCATCCCTCAATAAAATTCACATATGAAATCTATGACTCTAAGATCACATTTCTTGACACTACAACGCAAGTGAGGGATGGAAACATATTTACAGATCTGTATTGCAAGCCTACAGACAAACATCAATATCTATCTCCTTTGAGTTGTCATCCTAAACATTGCACCAAGAGCATTCCCTACAGCCAGGCCATACGAATAAAAAGGATTTGCTCCACCAACGATATTGCAAAACTAGAGGCTCTCAAGAGCCTGTGTCGCTCACCTGATTCTACTTTGGTTTTGGAAATCATGTAAAAATAGATTAAAATCATAACAGATACCCTAATAATGAGTGAGGCCAAATTTGGTTTAATATTGGTCCTGTAATTTAATAAAAAATCCTGGTGGCCATCTTGAACAGTAAATCGGCAACAAAGTAGCAACACTTAATCAGCACCTCATAAGAAACATTTATGCCATGTTTTGGTTTCATTCCATTCAGTGCACCTCTAGAAGAAGCATTTGTATGTATTTCCCATAGGGTCTTATGTTAAAGGAAGTCCCCCCATTGGCGGCCATCATGGATGAAGGATCAGCTTCAAAGTAACAAAACTTAGTCAGCACCTCATAAGGAACATTCATGCCATGTTTGGTTTCAATCCATTCAGTATGTGGTTCTCTAAAAGAAGACATTTGTATGTATTGTCCATAGGGTCCTTTGTTAAACATTGTCCCCATCTGGCAGCCATCATGGATGAAGGATCATCTTCAAAGTAACAACACTTGGTCAGCACCTCAAAAGGAACATGCATGCCATGTTTGGTTTCATTCCATTCAGTGGTTCTCTAAAAGAAAACATTTGTACGTATTTCTCATAGGGTCCTATGTTAAACTAAGTCCTCCGCTGGCAGCCATCTTAGATTATGGATCGGCTTCATAGTAACAACACTTGGTCAGCACCTCATAAGGAACATTCATGCCATGTTTGGTTTCATTGCATTCAGTGGTACTCTAAGAGAAGACATTTGTATGTATTTCCCATAGGGTCCTATGTTAAACTAAGTCCCCCTCTGGCTGCCATCTTGGATGATGGATCAGCTTCAAAGTAACAACACTTGGTCAGCACCTCATAAGGAACATTCTTGCCATGTTTGGTTTCATTCCATTCAGTGGTTCTCTAAAAGAAGACTTTGTATGTATTTCCCATAGGGTCCCATGTTAAACTAAGTCCCCCGCTGGCGGCCATCTTGGATTATGGAACGGCTTCAAAGTAACAACACTCGGTCAGCACCTCATAAGGAACATTTATGCCATGTTTGGTTTCATTACATTCAGTGGTTCTCTTAAAGAAGACATTTGTATGTATTTCCCGTAGGGTCCTATGTTAAACTAAGTCCCCCGCTGGCGGCCATCTTGGATGATGGATCAGCTTCAAAGTAACAACACTTGGTCAGAACCTCATATGGAGCATTCATGCAATATTTGGTTTCATTCCATTCAGTGGTTCTCTAAAAGAAGACATTTGTATGCATTTCCCATAGGGTCCTATGTTAAACTAAGTCCCCCCGCTGGCGGCCATCTTGGATGATGGATCGGCTACAAAGTAACAACACTTGGTCAGCACCTAATAAGGAACATTCTTGCCATGTTTGGTTTCATTCCATTCAGTGGTTCTCTAAAAGAAGACGTTTGTATGTATTTCCCATAGGGTCCCATGTTAAACTCATAAGGAACATTCATGCCATGTTTGGTTTCATTCCATTCAGTAATTCTCTAGAAGAAGTTCAAAATGTAAAAAGTTAATGACGACGACGGATGACGGACGCCATGTGACGAGAAAAGCTCACTTGGCCCTTCGGGCCAGGTGAGCTAAAAATGAGAAACGAGAAACACTTATGAACCACACCAACAAACGACAACCACTGAACAACAGGCTCCTGACTTAGGATAGGTGCATACAAATGCAGCATGTTTAAACGTGTTAACAGGCGCCAACCTTCACCCTAACCTGAAACAGTGGTGTAACATTACAACATATAAAGACACACAATAAAATTTCAATTGAAATGGCTTAACTCAATCAAAAAGACAATACACAATAAATGTGGATAGTGTCCACATGTGGACACAGATGATGCCCCTGCTTGCATATCATATAGTTATAAAGGGACATAACTGAAGAACGGTAAAAGTGATGCTACCCAAATTGAACTTGATCTGAGTTTTGTGGTAATAAGCATTGTGTGTAAGTCTCATAACATTTGGTGGTGGCTAACTTAAGTAGAGAACAGAAACTAAAAATTCAGCAATTTTACTATTTGTAAACACGCATAACTCTAGAACGGTTGTGTAGAAGTTTTATAACATTTGGTTGAGACAAACTAAAGTTAGAGAACGGAAACTAAAAATTCAGCAATTTTTATGTTTATAAAGGGACATAATTCAAGAATGGTAAAAGTGTCGCCACCAAATTTCCTCCTTAATCTGTATTACTGTAAATTCAGAAATTATTGCGATGTTTTTATTATTGCGAAAAATGCGACAGGGTTATAGTCGCAATAATTTAAACACGCATTTTGAAAGTTTTGATATGAATTAAACAGGATTTTTCTCAATATCGCAAAAATTAAAACCGCATTTTAGTCTAAAATGATAAAATCGCAATAATAAATGCACGCAATAATTTCTGAATTTACAGTATGTAGTAATAAGCATTGTGTATAAGTTTCATAACATTTGGTTGAGGCATGCTAAAGTTAGAAAACGGAAACAAAAAATTTGTACTTGATCTTAGTTTTGTGGTAATGAATATTGTGTATAGGTTTCATAATGTTTGGTTGGGGCAAACTTAAGTTACAGAATGGAAACTAAAAATTTTGCAATCTTTCGATTTATAAAGGGGCATAACTCAATAATGGTGAAAGTGACACTACCCAAATTCAACTTGATCTGTGTTTTATCAGTGGAAGTCAAAATTAAACATTGCATTGTATAAAGCATTGATTGAAGTTGATTCAACTATAATCATGGACAAAGGAAGATAACTCCAATTTTAAAAATTACTTGATATTTAGAAGAAAATAAAAATTTTGCAATTTTTCCATTTATAAAGGGGCATAACTCTAGAACGGTTAGAGTGACGCCCCCAAAATTCAAACTAGATCTGTGTTTTGTGGTAATAAGCATTGTGTATAAGTTTTATAACATTTGGTTGAGACAAACTTAAGTTAGAGAACAGAAACTAAAAATTTTGCAATTTTTCCATTTATAAAGGGGCATAACTCTAGAATAGTTAAAGTGACGCCATCAAAATCCGAACTTGATCTGTGTTTTGTGGTAATAAGCATTGTGTATAAGTTTCATAACAATTGGTTGAGGCAAACTCAAGTTAGAGAACTGAAACCAATTTTGGGAGTACGTACGTAGACGGACAAGGGTGAAACTTAATGCCCCCACCGCTACGGCGGGGGCATAAAAACAAGAAAAAATATACACTGAACGAATAAGTTTGATCTATGATACAATATATTTGACATTGAAACTAGGACAAAATGGCGTTAAATAAAGTAACGTACACAGATAATTTTGTTGTTAGGAGTACAGAACTAGTTAAAAGCCAAAAACAATTAATAATAAAAAATCATGCATCAGAAACTAAAATCAATTAAAACACATCCCAGGCAAGGATTTAGTGTTTTAATGCCATGGACAGTCAAAGAAGACATGACTTATACACATAAGATATAAAACATAATAAAAATATACATTTTAAGAATATAATAAACATTTTCCTTTCAATAAAATATCATAGCATAATTTTGCAGTGTAAAAGTAAACATTTTCACCCCTTAATAAAAATACAAATTTATTGTCATCTGACATACTATAAAAATCAGGACAAAATGAGCATGTAAATCTGCATATAATGGACAACTCAAAATTACATGTTTCTCATCTTCAATTGTTTTATCTTTACAATTAAAACATATTCTATCATTAATAGGTAAGTTCTGATACCGGGCCATTTCATTTTGTCTGGGCAAAATTCCTCGGCGAAATTTTGCAAAAGCACTTCATTTTTATACATATTAATATGAACTCTTGCTTTCTATGTTTAATTGTATGTGTGCATGACTTGATATGTGTATTTTGTTTGTTGTGCTTTTGTTCTGTCAGTTTTAAAAGCTCTTCAGAGCTTATGTTTGTAATTGTATTGATTATACCGACTCTAAATAAAGCTTTATGTCTGTACGTCTTATTTCCTTGCAATATTTTTATAAATATATTTTTTTACCTTAAACTCTGTACACTTACCTTGGACCTCAAATTCCCCCGGTTGACAATAAAAAGACTTTAAACTCTGTATTTCTTCATCTAATTCAGACATCCCATACTATATAAAATAGAACAAATATTTAATGTATAATGAATGTGTATCAATGTTTCACTGTGTATCTGTTTATTAACTAATCAAATTGAGCACTTCATAAATTTCAATTACTTCATTGACTAGTTGGTTGTCTAGAATAGAGTATTGGTGTATTGTCATAATAATGACACCAGAACACATCTCTGATGACACTAACTACTTTATTGTTTTACTCCCTACTGATCAATTGTTAATTATCGTGATAATTAGTGCATATAACATTACTAGTTAGATCCCCTGTATTGTTAGCCTTTTTTCAATACCAATCAACAGTTAATTATATATACCATGTTAATATGTGAATGATGTCATAAACTTATGATAAAAAGATGTGTGGGGTATATGTCAACCTCTTGTACAGTACTAATTAGTAAAGTAACATATGTTCTTTTAAAAATGGCAGAGGCTGAATATGGTATGTAATATTCTTTGTTATATTTCATTTTGTATTGTCATGACTGTGTTCAATATCAGATAAGGCAAACTATGTTGGAATGATACTAATTATTATAGGTTTAGTTCTACTTCCATGGGCATTCTTATATTCTTCAACACATTAAAATTAAGAGGTATTATGTATATGTAGATTTTAAGAAAAAAAATACTTTAAAAAAAATAGTTAAAAGTGGCAGCAACTTCAACATGTGCTGATAGTTTGTAGCAAACAGAAAAACTGAAGATGATTGTAAAATTAGAACATTGTTTTAATGAATATATCAAGACTTATTCATTTCAAAGGATGTTTGGACATCAATTCAAGAATATGTTATTCACTAATATATGTATCCTACTAAAGAAATCAAACATAACAATTAGTGGTCAAACAGTTGTAATATTGGTACTTAAACAATGGACAATACATCATCAAGAAGAAAAAGATCAAGACAGGATACAGACACACAAAATGTGTCAACATTAGAGGGTCAATTAGTTTGCATAACAAAAAGTTACTCTTACATTGCATTTTTCAAATTATAAAATATATAGTATAAACATATGTTGCTGTACAGGTATGAAAACTCACGGTCCTACATATTGTTGATGCTATGTACTTATAATTTAGCATTGCACAAGGTAATGTCTTTTTAAGACTGTTCATGATGTCTTTACACTAAATCCATGTGGATGTGTTCTGATTGATACCTTAATGTAAAATAACATGATTTATGTATTAGTTTTGATTGGCTTTAATATTGGGTTTATCTCATTGTTGAAGGTCTTACAGTGACCTATAGTTGCTTAAATCCACATCGTTTTGACTTTGGTGGATAGTGTGAACTTTCTCTTTGGTAATCATGACACATCTCCTCATTTTCAATATTTATTTTTTTTTCATTATTCTTTTGAAATAAATCAGGCTGTTAAATTGATTCCCATTTTGTCATACTGAGGCCATTTATTGAAACACTTTTAATAATTGTATATATCTAGGTCCTGCCTAATCCCATTTTTGTATCCTGCGTATGGAATGATCTTCTGATCTGACAATATTAGTCAACCATATTTTTTAAAAAAATTACAATTTCTATAAAAATAAGAAAATGTGGTATGATTGCCAGTAAGACAAATATCAACCAGAGACCAAATGATGTAGAAGATAGCAAATATAGGTTACTGTATGGCCTGCAACAATGAACAAAACCCAAACTGTACAGCAAGCTTTAAATGGCCCCAAAATGATAAATGTAAAACAATTCAAATGATGAAATAAACAGCCTGATTCATATACAAAGCAATAAACCAAAACAATTATGATATTATACAGCAACAAACAACAGGCACTGAATAACAGGCTCCTAACTTGGGACAGGCACATACAGAATGTCGTCTAAACCTTCCCATTAACCTGGGACAGTGGTGTAACAGACTAACAGCACAACATAAGACCAAACTAGAATCAAAGTGCTTGTGAGCACTGAAGGGTACAGATTTCAGTTTGCATTTTTGTGAATTTAAATACAACATTGAATTATAAATTTGAGTTGGAGTTATCTTTCTTTGTTCATGCATATGATTGTACATTTGTAGCAAACCTATTTTTTATAACAAATTAAGTGTTATAACTGTAAACATATCATCAAAAAATTGGATGACATTGACAGGATAAGATCATAAGAATGATCACTCCACTGTGCACTATCTTGTTCGAAGTATCAAAGGTAGTGATAAAACTTGGAAGATATAGATATCAAGTCAGTACCTTAAGGATTTTGATTGCAAAATCTATACCACAAAAATCAGTTGAAAAGGGCTTTTAACTCCTCAGATTGATACAAAGCAAAAAAACTGAAAAGACAAAACGTACAGATCTGAGAGTACTTGTAGTTACTGAATGATAGTTTTTGGTGAGATCTTAAGGTTAGATAAGAGTAAATTAGCAATTCGCCATTGTGTGCTTCCTTATCAATTGATATAACATATTTTATAGGAGTAACACGGCAGGTGTCACATGCCAAGCAGGATCTGCTAAACCCTTCCGGAGCACCTGAGATCATCCGACGGTTTTGGGTGGGGTTCTTGTTGCTCAGTCTTAAGTTTTCTATGTTGTGTTTTGTAGACTGTTTGTCATTTGTGACTGTTTTTTTTGTTTTTTGCCACATGGCATTGTCAGTTTGTTTTCTACTTATGAAAGTGAATACCCTTTTTGTATCTTTTGCCTCTCTTTTTCTAATTCAAAGCCAATAATTAATAAAAAAAAAATCATGTATCTAAGACTAAAATATCAATCAGTACGCATCCAGCATCCATGGATTTAGTTTAAAGATCTTTAACAGTCAGAGAAAAACATAATACTGTTGTTAACATTGCAGAAAAATATAGGTATGTTCATAGGTGTATATGTATATGGCAATAATATTTAATTTGTTTTTAATCTATTGATAACAAAATCAATATTTATACCGATAAAACAATCTTCAAAGATCTAATTACAGTAAACTTTTAGAATAAATCTATTTAAAGATGATATCTAAATTTACATAAAAATTAGAATATGCTATCTTGTTTGTAATATACAGGTACAGCCAAACTTGTATCTATGGCAGAATGAGTAAAAGCTTTAAGTAATTTGTGGTAGCAAAATCCTTGACTTAATAATTTACCAGAAATACATAGATTATGTTCATTGAAATCCAAAACATCACTACAGACACGGACATAGCAGACATGTTGAGATATTAAAACACCGTAAGATGGGGCTAAAGGAACATGTATAGGTTTTGATTATTGTTGAAGGCCGTATGGTAACCTACGGTTGTTAACTTCTATGTCATTTAGTCTCTGGTGAAGTGTTGTCTTATTGGCAATCATACCACATCTTCTTATTTTCATATATATCACCGTAAATAAAGGAAAATTAACAATAGGGAACAATAAATTGCTTTTGAGCGCAGCTGGATACGACCCCAGAGGTCCAACCCTGAACAGTTGGGGCAAAAATGGACACAATATTCGCGCTTGATACAGGTCTGAATTTGGATTGTAATTAAATATCTGACACAAAATAGGTTTCTGACACAGAATAACTGTAGTCAAAGAACTTAGAATTGGTAATATGATTTGAATTTATATTCAATTTATGCTTTTGTGCAATACACTATGCTGTTGCGTATTGAAGAAATAATAATATTTGAAGAAATTTTCTTTTTAATTTCTGAAATCTGAAATGAGAAAAAATTGTACCCCTCCACCCCCCCACACAATTTCATATTTCCCCTCCCCCCAAATTTTGTTTTTCAATTCCCTCCTTTCCCTTTTTCCAAAAAAAATTCCTTCCCTCAAGATAAGGTCAAAATCTCAATTCCAATTTCTAATGGAGTTTGCAACGTTTGCAACCATAATTACCCATTAAAATACATCATAAAAGTCTAAAAATAGAAAATGACATACATATTCAAGGCTAAAATCAATATTAATTACTGTAACATTTAAAAATAAATTGACAGCTAATCACCTCAAGACAATACAGCATTTCTTATATATAATTTACAAGCAGTGTAAGGGAGGTAATCCAAAACATACACAACATTGTACATTAAATGTGAGTGGATTAACTCCCTTACACTGCTTTAAAATTTTCCATTAACCAGGAAACCCTTGTTTTTCCCCTTTTTTTTGCCCCTAATTCCTAAATGGTTTGAGCCATAAACCCCCAAAGTCAATCCTAACCATCCCTTTGTGGTATGGAAACTTGTGGTATAATTTCAGAGAAATTCATAATCATACACTTAAACACAAGTTATTGTCTGGAAACTACAAACATGCTTATTTTGGCCCCTTTTTTTGCCCCTCATTCCTAAACTGTTGGGACCATAATCCCCAAAATCAATCCCGATCTTCCTTTTGTGGTTATAAACCTTGTGTTTAAATTTCATAGATATCTATTTACTTATACTAAAGTTATTGTCCGGAAACCAACTGTCTTCGAATGACGATGACAATGTGATACCAATATACGACCACAAAATTTTTTTGCGGTCATATAAAAATCATTTCTTTTGCTGTCAATTATTGTCTAGAATTAACTATGTAAAACTGAAATATCTACATCTATTAAAGGATTGTTATTGCTGTCAATATTTAATTAATTCAAAGTAAGTTCCTCATTTTTAATTTCATCAGTATATTCAAAGAATTCTTGATTATTCAACAAAAATATCATCAAGATAATGGTATGTGTTATTGAATTTATCAATAAATGCAATTTAGATGGGTCTTTACTGAGTTTGGCCATAGAATGTAATTCATAACCATTATTAGGTTAAATCCTAACTATCCTACTGCCTGTTGATACTTTTATTTTGGCATTGCACAAGTCATGTCTTCTTTGACTTTCCATGGCGTTAAAACACTAAATCCCTGGGATGTGTTTTAATTGATTTTAGTCTCTGATGCATGATTTTTTATTATTAATAGTTTTTGGCTTTTAACTAGCTTTCAGTAACTGCGAGTACTCTCAAATCGTA